TCATCTGTCAGTTTAATTTGCAGGTGCCCAGGAACTATATCTAAGAGCAACAAGTTTTACTCCCTAGACAGTTCATATGCCATGCATCCATATAGACCATCTACTTGCTAATTTTTGTGATTGTGATATCATATACCATAGTTTATGTTGCATTCCCCTATTGTGAGGCACATTGTTTCTAACTTTGCACTATTTTGAACTCTTTCCTTCCCTTACACCACTTTCCCTTGCCTTCTCTGCCACAGAAGATATACACAAACATACAAATGCATGATTATGTAAAAATACATAAAATTTGCTGTATTTGTTGTCCAGATCTTTAGCTTTGTGAAGAAAAGGAAAAATCAGGTGGTGTTGCCCTCCGGAGTGTCTCTCTTCTCTATGGAGTTGATCTAGACCCCAGTCATCAACTTTATTGTACCTAGATTTCTCAGATTGTAAACATTTACTAACAGCTGCACAAATGTACCAGGCAATAAACGGAGGTGGGGTTGGTCTGCTTAATAAAAATACTTCCTTTAAAAAAAAAAAAAATACTTCCTTTGATTTGAGCTTTCCTCTTCCAGAGCTTCTTGTGTCTCTGGTTCAGTAAATAACAAGTATGAAGAGTTAATAAAGACAGTTTGTCATAGTTACTAATTTTTTCTTGTCCTATATGGCTTTTAATATTTGGAAGCAACCACTGAAGCAGATTTGGCATTTCAAAGTTCTATTACAAGTGTGATTTTATTTTAGGTCATGTTTATAGCTCTGTTTATATTATCATTTGGTTTATAATGCTGATTATAAAGACTTGATTAAATAACTGCTGTTTGAACAGCATCATACTGTCAGACTAAAAAGCCTAGAATGAGGCCCTTAACTCTCAGAAGTTGATAACTGGCAAAATGAGAAACCAAAGCTATAAGTGCTGAGGAACTTGTAAATAATCATTGTGAGTCTTGATAATAAAGATATGGAACACAGAATTTTTGACTTTTATTAAACAATTGCTAAGTCTTGGTTTGCTTCTAAGCCTTAAAGGAAATTTGGAGCAACTTTTCCATACTCTGGAACATAGGAATAGATTATCCCAAATTTCTTTGGGTTCATTCTAGAGAATTCTGAAGACACCATTATAAACCAATATAAGATGGAAAACAAAAGATTGGGATACCAGAAAAGGCCCTTTCATAATTTTCTCTTCTTTTTTTTTATAAATTTTTTTAAAAAAAATTTATTTATTAGAGAGAGAGAACACGAGCAGGGGGAGCGGCAGAAGCAGGCTCCCCGCTGAGCAGGGAGCCCGACGTGGGGCTCTATCCCAGGACCCTGGGGTCATGACCCGAGCCAAAAGCAGACGCTTAACCAACTGAGCCACCCAGGTGCCCCAACCCTTTCATAATTTTAATGGCTAAGCAAGGAAGTGTTCTCTGTTACTGCCTCTCAGAGCCCTGAGGAATGGTTAAGACGGGGGAAATAAGACTGGCAAAATATTTATCTGCGGACCCGACTTCCCTACCTTGTTAATTTGGAGTGGATTCCTCTCCACGGCCAAGCTACTGATTCTTTTTTTTTTTTTTTAAGATTTTATTTATTTACCTGACAGAGAGAGACACAGCGAGAGAGGGAACACAAGCAGGGGGAGTGGGAGAGGGAGAAGCAGGCCTCCCGCCAAGCAGGGAGCCTGATGCGGGGCTCGATCGCAGGACCCCGGGATCATGACCTGAGCTGAAGGCAGACGCCTAACGACTGAGCCACCCAGGCGCCCCTGAGCTACTGATTCTGATTTAAAAAAATCACTAGCTAAAAGACTTCTACTTTGAAGTAGGGGATGATGTTGGCTGTTTCAAACCTTTCTCACTCTCCAGCTTCAAGGACTTCAATACCTGCTTCAACAAGATTGGGGATTAAATTCCATCTACATTCTTAGGGATACACATTTTTTGAGAGAAATAACAGAGCTCTCCAAGAACAACTATGCATGACTTTTGTTACAACTTGTCACCTTTGGCATAGTGTTGCCCTTATAAGAAATAAGGGACTTTCACCTCTAAGTGGCCTTTTGCCTCTATAAAGAAATAGCTGGGTATTTCACAGAGGTTCTAGGAGTGGTTGGTTTGCTCCTAGTTGTTTGCAAAATAATTAGATAGTGTGCTAAGTCAATGGAAGGACTTCCATTCAATAAGCTTTTGTCCTATGCATTCTACCTTATTTGGCTTTCAGCCAGAGATTTTCAAATCTTGTTCCATAGAAGCCAGGAGGTCCTCAGGCATTTTATTCTAACTTTTTAGAATTTTTTTTGTTTGTTTGTGATTGGTGATTATCTTTGATAAATATATACAAAAAATACATGAATATATTCTTGGGAAAATTTGTGGCTTTATTAGTACATTTATTAAGCATCTAGTGGTATACTAGGCACAAATTCTAGGGACTAAGGATTTTTTCATGAACAAAGCAAATAAAAAGCCATGCCCTCATAGAGCTTACATGCTATTGGAAGGAGAAAAGCAAACATAATAAATAGGGAAATTACATGTGTCAAAAGGTGATAAGCGCTCTCAACAAAAATAAGATGAGGCAGATCAAGAATGCTAGTAGAAGGAACTGCAGTTTTAATTTGGGAGGTCAGGGTAGGCCTCACTGAGAAGTTACCATTTGAAGAAAAACTGGAAGGAAGTGAAGGAATGAGTCATATATATAAATAGGGGAAGATCATTCTGGGCAAAGGGAAGATCTAGTGCAAAGACCCTGAGGTGGGTCGGTGTATGTACATTTGAGGTACAGCAAGGAGATAGGTCTGGCTACATTACAGTTAGCAAAGGGGAGAATGAGACCAGAGAAGTAGGGGTGGGAGATAGAAAGTTCTTTGGCTTTAACTCTAAGAGAAATAGGAAAATATATGGGAAATCTTTAAACAACAGAGATACATGTTGTCAACAAAGCATCCCTACCTCCTAATCCCATACTACCCAGAGATTGCTGCCATTTTGGGTCATGTTTTTTCAGAAGTTTTTTCTATGTGATTATATACATAGATGGGTACATATAAAAACATGTAGTTTTGTTTTGTGAGGGTATGCACGTGTTAGTTAGCAACTTGCTTTTTACAATTAATATATCTTGGAGATCTTTCTTTGTCAAGACAGTACATATATTTCTACCTCATTCTTTTAAACTGTTGTATAATATTCCATTGTATGCCTATGCTACATTTTATTTAACCATATCCTTACTGGTAAACATTTAGATTCTAATTTCATTGCTCCTTTCCTACTTTCCTCTTTTGACCTCTCTCTTCCTTGCTACCTTCCTTCCTTCCCTCCTTCCTTCTTTTCTTTCTTTTTTTTTTTTACTGCATTACTATTGTCTTAATATTATATTTAACAACATAAAATTACATTACATGAAACATGGGAGAAAATTTGAAAGTTAAAGTTTGTGTAACCTTCTGTCAGAAAAGCAATATGTGTTTCCTTAAATTGGAATCACTTAGATTTGCCTCAGTGGAAGAGAGGCTTTAGTTACTTCTCAAGCAAAGATTTATCTAATGTTTATTGTTCTGGAATACAGGGGAATCATGAGAGCTTGAGCCCAATTACTCTGAACCTTGCTACGGGTTCACTGGGTCATCTTAGCCAAGTCGGCAATAGGTCTACATCAGTAGGAAGTGAGGATCCACGATCTATAAGCTATGCTGGGTTCTCCTTTCTCCCCCTACCTACTGCCTGAACTAATATGGTATTCAGCCAGACCTCCTGTTGGGTCATGTATGTTAGTCTTGTCTACCCAACCCATGGAGGGCAGGTACTGTGTCATACATTCCTTTTTTTCCCCAACAGTGTCTAGCTGATTCTTAGAATTGTGGTTATTTATTTTTAATATATGTCTTAATTATCCTTAAAATTGTATTTGTGAAGTTAGCTCTATTTGGTTTAGAATAAACCTTGGAAATGGCAAAATGGAACTAGAGGGTATTATGCTAAGCAAAATAAGTCGATCAGAGAAAGACAATTATCATATGATCTCATTCATATGTGGAATTTAAGAAACAAAACAGAGGATCATAGGGGAAGAGAGGAAAAAATAAAACAAGATGGAACCAGAGAGGGAGACAAACCATAAGAGATTCTTAATCATAGGAAACAAACTGAGGGTTGTTGGAGGGGAGGGAGGTAGGGGGACAAGGTAACTGGGTGAATAAAGCATCTGCATCTCTATGGATTTAAATGTACCATTGAGGGATGCCTGGGTGGCTCAGCTGGTTAAGCGTCTGCCTTCGGCTCAGGTCATGGTCCCACGGTCCTGGGATCAAGCCCCGCATCAGGCCCTCTGCTCAGCTGGGAGCCTGCTTCTCCTTCTCCCTCTGCCTGCCACTCCCCCTGCTCGTGCTCTCTCTTTCTGTGAAATAAATAAATAAATAAACAAACTCTTTAAATAAATAAATAAATATACCATTGATTAGGAAGTTTGTAACTTTGCACTGGTTGCTTTTTACCTTTAGGCCTTGCTTAATACAGATAATTGCACTACGAGTAGAATGCACACATGCCTTGCTTAATTACATTCCAGGCAAGCTACAGGTACCTCTGCATTGCCCATATGCTTACATCACAGCAAAATGGTCAACTGTGCAACTACTAGGAAAAGGATCACACAGGATCACAGTAATATCACATAAATAATTTTTTACCCTATTATTGTCCTATTATTTCACTTGACATCATCATGTTTTCAGAATATGAAATGCCTATTTAGTACGGTCTTACCTTCCTATTGTATTTCTGGGTTAGAAAAGCTAACATTAGAAGGCTAGCAAGTTCTAAATATAGCTGCTCTCTCCTCTTCCAGTCTCTGGTGGGTCTTTGCCCTGAAACCTAATGCTGTCTTTGCTTTGGTTTCTTTCACTTCCTTTCAAATGTGTTCTCTTCCTGCTGGCACTTTTTTTTGCCAGAAGGCAGGGCCTATGAGAGGAGACCCCTGATTTCGTCAGAGCTAGCGAAGGACAGGAAGTTTACACAGAGCAGAACTATTTGCTAGGATTGGTTTTGATCTTTGCTCAAGTTGTTGCTAGTGTTGGAGATGCTGTCATCAGGATTCTGTTGCACAAAGAGAAAGATAAAAATATCTCTCTGACGCGTGCCTTTTTCTCCCTTTCCCATCCCCTTGCCGGGAACGCCGGAAAAGGATCCCAGGCGGATTGGAGGCATTAGGTCGTCGGTTTGAATCTCAGTGGTCGAGAAGGAAATGTGGGTAATGCCCGGCTCATGGGGCAGAAGAAAGGATCTCAGGGAGATATGAGAACTGTTCATTTCCCCGTGGCCGTCTCCTCAAGGCTAGTTTCTTTGGAAAGCCTCGGTCTTTCTGGTCGTTGCAGGACCTCGCTGAGGGGCTGCATTTCCTCTCTGATTCTTTCTCTTGCCCCCGTGGGCCGGCAAAAGGAAGCTCCTGGAACTTTAAGGGACATGGATCTGGGGCTGAAGTCTCTAAAGGAAAACCTACAAGGATAGAAGTCTCCGCATCACCCTGCCTCTTGGCCAAGGCTGGGGGCTCTTTCCTTCCAGCATCACCCGTCGTAATTGAAGTGAGTTGTCTGTTTTTATTTTTTCAAGTGTTCTGAGTAGAGAATCTTGATTCTTTTTTGGTATGCTCTTTAACAAATGTGTCAGTTAAACCAGTACTAATCATCTTTTAATGTGAATATGAATCACTTGGACATTTAGTTAAAAAGGTAGCAGAATGCCGTGGGTCTGGTTTGGGCCTGAGACTCTGCATTTCTGACAGGCTTGCAGGCAGCCTCAGATCTGCTGGTGCGTGAACCATGCCTTGAGTAACAAGGGCTTCGATCCTCTAGATTTTTTTTTGCTTTGGGGGAAAAGGATTGGGGGATGCTGGTGGAATGAAGGTATTAACCAAGTCTGTGATTTATGAAGAGCACCCGAAAAGAAAATCAGTCACCATCCCTGCCCTGGTTGTATCTGCTTAACGGACTATCTAAAATTTGGGGTTTCTGTTCAGCTGTTCCTAGATGTGGGAAGTCAAGTCACCCCAAGTGAGAGAGAATGTTGGGCCACTCCTTACACTGCATGGGGTCACTTTGAGCAGAGCCAGAAATCGTTTTTTAATTTTTGCAATTTAGGGGATTGTCATATCACACCTCAACTGATAGAGCTAGTCGTCACTTTGAACATTTTCGTTTCGATTTAAAGATTATGCATGCTCAAAAAATAACTGGTGTCTTCCACCTACCATTTCGAGGTATAAAGATTGTAAGGCATATGAATCTATTACATGGTTGAACGTCAGTTCAAGTAAGGAATATAATTACCATGTTTTGTTTTCTTAGGAGAGGCCTTTAAACTCTCCTGGGAGTAGCTCCCTCTCTTAAATGATTCACATTTATCTGAAAGTCGCTTTTAATCCAAAAGAGACAAGCTAAGAGGAAAAAAATGAATAGACAGGAAGCCTACCTATTCTGTCTGTAGTTGAGGGGAGAAAATAGCAATGGGAAAAAAGGGGGAAAGAAAAGAGTGTGGTGGCCTGGGATGTCCTCGCTTCGTGAAATGAATGAAAGAAACCCCAGCATAGAAATAGAATTCTTACCCACACATGCATGGGAATCCTTCCAGAATAGTGGCTCATAGCTTCGTCAGCCGGAGAAATATGCTTGAAACAGAATAAATTATAAATTGTGTTGTTGGTGATGAATGAACATGCTGAAACTATCTGTCATTAAGTTGAAAAGTATGCACTGGGGTCAAAGGTCCAGGGAATGCGCAGGCCTGGTGAAGCACTGTAGGAACCCATTAAACCATCCCAGAGGGAGGAGAATTGCTTCTGTTTGAAATAAGCTTCAAATAACATTCCTTTCTATCATGGGGTATCACCAGAGGTGTTACTTAAAAGTTTAACAACCTGTGTGGCACAAACCTTGACCAATCAGCACAGAAGTTGTTGTAAACGGCCCACACAACAGCAACTGCTAGGCAGTAAGAATGTCCGGGACTGAACATTGGCCGAAGCTGTTAATAGGTTTTTTCTTATAAAGGTTTTTTTTTTTTTTTTTTTTAAGATTTTATTTATTTGACAGAGAGAGAGAGACACACAGCCAGAGAGAGAACACAAGCAGGGGGAGTGGAGAGGGAGAAGCAGGCTTCCCGCTGAGCAGGGAGCCCGATGTGGGGCTCGATCCCAGGACCCTAGGATCATGACCTGAGCCGAAGGCAGACACTTAACGACTGAGCTACCCAGGCGCCCCTGTTATAGGTTTTAATTAAACTTTTCTGGGGGAAGAAATGGTAAAGCCACAGATGAGTTCAGGGGTATTAATAATATTCCTACCACCATCTGCCAAAGCTCTGGCACCATTTTCTCAGGTGAGGCCACTTTCCTCTGTTCTCTCTTATCAAGCCCAGAGCAACCTCTCATTCCAGCTGTGTATCTCTTGTAACCTACACTAAAGAGAAATCTCTTGAGTCACTGCAAGACTCAAAATCCTATCCATTTCCTGTGTAGAACAGAAGATGCATATATTCTGTTGTAAGGAGTTACAGCAGGAAAAGAAACCTGATCACCATGTTATCCTTCCATACAAAGCATCATCGAATATGTTATCCCACATGATTTTCACAACCATCACAGGGTGCAGGTCAAGGGGCTTATTATTCTAACCTGTTAGTGCAGAAGTTGAGACTCTAGTTAAGCAATTTCTTACAAGGCACAGAGTTGGTTAGTGGGAGTTCTGGATTTGAACCCCAGCCCGATTGCTCCCAGGTCAGGTTTATCCTGTAGTTTCTTCATCCTCTCAGGACCTTTCGCAACATATAGTGTTCTGTACTAGGTCTGTTTTCTTTTTATGTCATACTTCAAAAACTTTGTATGTTAAAAATTATTCTATTTCTACTTCTTTGTCAAAATTATTCTCATGCTTGTCTTAAGCTTTGCCTCCATTAAGGCCTTTACTCCGCAGGAATAAATGTTTTAGAGCAGTGGGTCTCAAACTTTATCATGCTTAAAAATCACCCCAGGGAGCTTGCTAAAACTCAGATTCCTGAGCCCCACCTCCAGAGATTCTGATTCAGTGGGTCAGGTCCCAGGCTTAGAATTTGCATTTACACTTGTAATTTACATTACATTTGCCGGGCTATCTCTGTATGTGTTTGCTCTTTTATTACTAGGTCTTGCTCAATTCATAATTATATTTTATAATAGAAACACGAACAACAAGAATTCACCCAGATAGCAAATACCCTTCTTTGATGTAGGTGTTACGCAGGGCTTAATCATGAGTCAAACATGCTCTTATGTGGGTTTGTGTGAGTCGATGTCCCAGGTTGTCAGCTAGCACCTCCCACCAAGAGGAGAGAGAGCAGATGATGCTGAGAAGTTGGCAAGGGTCTGGTCACTCAGGGTCCCAAGGGTTTGGACTTAACAGTGATATAGTGATAGTTTGAAGCTGGGGAGTGTAATCACAATTACATTTTAGGAATTTTCTTGCTGCAGTGTGGGGGCTAGTTTGGAAGAAGGTGAGGCTATAGGCAGAATCTTTTTGACTGGACAGTTGCACTCATCTTGGAGACAATTAATAAAGGCTTGAACTAAAAGTAGGGTAAAGCTCAGAGCAGCTCCCATGGTTCAAGTGAGGGAGTAGAGCATATGTCATGATGCAGGAAATATGATCTGTATTAAAACTCCTTAGCTTACACCTCTTCTCTATATCAAAACTCCAGGGAGGCTGAGGACTGAGCCTTGTAGCCCCAGCCCCTAGCTCCCGGTAGGTCCCTGATGGATGTTTGGTGAGTGAATGAGTGAGAGAGAATAAATCAAATCCCCCTTGTGGTCTACAAGTTTCTGTCATCTGGCCCTTACTTAGCTCTCCAACCTCAGCTCCCTCCTCTCTCACCTTTATTTTGGTCACACTGGCCTTCCTTCAAGCCTTTGAAAATGCACAACTGTGACCTCTAGTCCAAAGAGTGTCAAAATACTGCCTTTGGGGCAAATCTGTCCTGTTACCAATTAAGATAAAGTTTTATTGGGACACAGCCACAGCCATTTGATTATGTATTGTTTATGGCTACTTTAGTGCCATAATAGCAGGGTGGAGTAATTGTGACAGAGAGCACATGGCCCGTGAAGCCCCAGATATTTACTATTTGGCCCTTTACAGAAAAAGTTTGCTGATCCCTACTCTAGATCTTCGAAATTGCTGTGACCTCTGATTTAAAACTCTAACCTCAATGAAATTATAGTAATCAAAAAACTGTGGTAATGGCATAAAGAAAAACATAGAGACCAATGAAATAGAATAGAGAGCTACCAAATTAACTCTCATGTATGTGGTCAAATGATTTTTGACAAGGGTGCCAAGACCTTTATCTTATACCATATACAAAAATTAAGTCAAAATGAACCAAAGACCTAAACACAACAGCTAGAAGTATAAAACTCTTAGATGAAAACATAGGGGAAAAGCCTCATGACATTGAATTTGGCAGTGATTTCTCAGATATAGCACCAAAATCACAGGCAACAAAAGAAAAACTAGATACATTAAACTTCTTCAAAATTAAAAATTTGCATGTCTCAAAGGACATTTATTAAGAAAGTGAAAAGAACGCACAGAATGGCAGAAAATATTTGTAAATCTTATATTTGATAAGGAGTTAATATCTAGAATATATAAAGAATTCCTACAGGGGTGCCTGGGTGGCTCAGTCGGTTGAGCGGCTGCCTTCAGCTCGGGTCGTGATCCCAGAGTCCTGGGATCGAGCCCCGCATCGGGCTCCCTGCTCAGTGGAGAGCCTGCTTCTCCCTCTCCCTCTGCCTGCCTCTCTGCCTACTTGTGCTTTCTCTCTCTCTCTGTCAAATAAATAAATAAAATCTTAAAAAAAAACCAAAACACAATTTAAAAAAAAAAAAAAAAAAAGAATTCCTACAGCTCAACAACAAAGGCCAAACAACCCAATTATAAAAGGCCAAAGGATTTGAATAGACATTTTTCCCGAGATGATATAAAAATGGGCAATAAGTATATGAAAAGATGCTTAACATCACTAATCATGAGGGAAATATAAATCAAAATCATAATGAGATACCACTTCATACTCACTAGGATGACCATAATAAGAAAAAAAAAGGAAAATAACAAGAGTTGGCATGGATGTAAACTGGGACCTTCGTGCTTTGCTGGTAGGAATGTAAAGTGGTGTAGCTGTTATATGGAAAGTAGTTTGGCGGTTCCTCAAAAGATTAAACATGGTGTTACCATCTGATCCAGCAATTCCACTTCCGGGTATTTACAGGCACTCAAATAGAGATTTGTACACTTGTATTCATATCAGCATTATTCACAGTAGCCAAAAGATGAAAGTAATTCAAGTGTCTATCAATAGAAGAACACCACAAAATGTGGTATATGTTTATATTGGAATATTCGTTTTAAAAATTCTGACAGATGGATGAACCTTGATGACATTATGCTAAGTGAAGTATGCTAGTCATCAAAGGACAAATACGATATACCAAATACACTTAAATGAGGTACCTACAGGAGTCAAATTCATAGAAACAGAAAGTGGAATAGTG